ATATATATATGATAGGTAAGGTTACGTATATTTAAAAAGAAAAAAAAAAAATCTTAGTTTAAACGTCATTTAAGTCTATTTCTTCGTATTATTTTTCTTTTACGTTTTTGCCCTTTTAAAAGTTTCATGGTTGAGTCGAACTCATAATTAAGGACTGAAGGATCGAGAAGTTCATGCACTTTTGACAAACACAACCATACATGACCCAATCTATTGACCGGCATAATTTCTCAACTAAGGTTCTTATAAGTACTTCAAAAGCTTAGCCAAACCTATCAAATCATGAAATTGTTGCAAATGCTCTCTTAGTGGCCTTACTGATAATTACAAAAATTAGGGGCCCTCTTTTTAAAAAATCATACTTTTAGCAATTTCCTCCTGAAATTTAGCTAAGGTCTTTATTCTTACCAATAAAAATCCAATTCAGTTAAATAATCTAAAAATGGAAATTAAGCCCTTGTGATATATCTGATTGTCAAAGTTGGTCCTCTTTTCTTTTGGAGGGGGCAATTTTTATGCTGAGTTTTGACTTTTAATACCGGCCGTTGCATTGTTCTTTTTAATTTATTCTTTTACCATAATACCCTCATATATTTTTGTTCATCAATTTCTCCTATTTCATTTTTCCAATTCAAAAATTTAAAAGTTGCCACCTAATTTGGTTGGATTCCACCACTTAGAACCTCAAACAATTGTTTTTAGGGTAATTATATTCACACTACAATTTTTATTTCTTACACCATATTTTAATTGCACTTAAAGTTTTTCATCTTGTTCATTATAATACTTTTGTCCTTAACGATTTTTCATATCATTCTTGTTCACAAGTTTTTCATTAATTAATATATTTTGTATTTGATAACAGTTTTTATATCCAAAAGTTTGTTGAAATGACATAAAACGACTTATTTTTCTATCATATTTTTAAAAAAATGAGAAAAATATTTTTCCCTCATTTCAAAGAATAAAAACAAAATATTTTGATATAAATCATCATCAAGGACAAGATGTACTAATTAATGAAAGGTTGAAGATAAGAATTCGACGAAAAAAAATAAAGAAAATAATTTCTATAATTAGTAAAAATTGAGGAGCTTAATTGCAATTAAAATGTAGTTTATCAAATAAAAATTGTGGTGACGATATAACCACCATTGTTTTCAATATAGTTTTTTTAATCACTTTTTATGTTTCACTTTTATAAATCAACATAAGTTCGGTGACATAGAAGGTACAATTTACCGTCGTCCTCTTCACTCAATTGACATAAATAATACTGGACAATCAACAACGCTACGGAGTTACTTTAGTCAGATAGAGTTTTAAGGAATTTATTGCAATAACTGCTTGTAGAATGATCAAATTTAACAAAAGTACTCAAAAAATTCAAAATAACCGTATTTTCAAGGGCAACATAGTAAAACAACCTTAAGACTCCCTCAACACATTCCTCTTAAACCCTTTCCACTCTCAAAATCCTCTTACCATTACACATTATTCATGGCTTCCATTCAAAATCACTTCCTCACTCTTTTACATTTTGTCATACTCTCTCTTCCCCTTTCTCACTCGTCCTCCATCCATGACCTCCTCATATCCAGAGGATTACCAGCAGGCCTTTTCCCAAAGGACATAAAGTCCTACACCGTTTCAGAATCTGGATTTCTTGAAGTGTTTCTTGAAGGGCCATGCTTGATCAAATTTGATACCATGGCTTTGTATGATAGGGTTGTGAGGGCAAATCTTACATATGGCAGTCTTACTGGAGTTGAAGGGCTTTCACAAGAAGAGCTTTTTCTATGGCTTCCGGTCAAAGAAATCATTGTAAATGATCCCACTTCAGGTCTCATACTTTTTGACATTGGTGTTGCTCACAAACAACTTTCACTTTCTCTCTTTGAAGATCCACCGGATTGTAACTCAAAAAGTAAGTCACCTTTCTCTTCTCTTTATGGTATTGGAGAAAAGACAATATTTCAATTAATTTTTCTGTCCCAATGTTTTAATTATTCTTTACAGTAATCCCTTTTATTTTCTTTTGAAATTATGCGTACTTTGGAAATAATGCAGGCGGATTCAAGAAAAATGGCAGAAAAGAAAAGGGATTTGCAGATCAAAGATAAACTTCAAAAGAAGTTCTCAGTCCTGTTTTATAACTTAGTTCGGCCTTATTAATTATATGTTAATATGACTGAAGATTTGGAATCAGATTTTCTCATTAGATTAAAAAAAATGCTAATCTTCCAACATCTAATGTCTCTTTTTCATTCCACGCGATATTTTCTAGTAATCTGGACATATTTGGCTTGCAATATTGAATAGTATTAGACTGTAACAAATATTAGAATGACGAAACTTTTGTTTATGAACAAACGAGCTTCCAATTAAACATATAAAATATGCATATTTTGTTGGGATCTTGGGGCTCGTGTAGAGACATACACACAAAGACGCATGTAAATATCGTAAATAGAAGGGTCCACTCTTCACGGGAGTCTTTCATTGATAGAATCTAGGCCCCAACGAAGGCTATTTTTTTGGATTCAGTTTAGAAAGTTAATTAGATCATCTACAATTTATTTAAGGGTCCGTTTGATATATAAAGGTGGAAATGGATTCTTTTGGTATAGTTGCTATTTGACGAGTTTATTATTTATGGTTATGAGTTTAATCAATACTCTACTATTTTCAATATTAACCTTTCGAGTAATTTTTAAATTCAATTGTAGTGTTAAGTTATAGGTTTGACAAAGTCCACACCACTTTAACTAATGACTCCCTACAAATAATTTTATCTTAAAATTTGTTACACGTCTCCACGTCTATTATGTGAACTGAGACGTTCTCACTTCTAAGAAAACATGCCTAAATTGTGCTTTGAGCAAACAGGATATCAATTTAACTTGCAATTGATTTATAAATCTAAATTAATCCGATTATTTTCCTTGGTTCCTTGATTGTCAAATGGCAAGAAACATATAATTTAGCTACGGGACACAGAAGAAGAGACGATGCGGGCTGCGGCAAGGTGGCAGGGATAATGCTGGGAATGGAATTGGCAGCCTCCAAGCATTTGCAGTAAAAATTGACCATATTTTGGTTGCCGTCCAAATGGCCTAATCGGTCGAGGAAGTTAACTTGATGGACCTTATTGAAAGTTACGATTTTTAATCAAAATTACTTATGCTGACATGCACGAATAAAGATTTCTATTTTGTTCAAAATGTTCTCGATAGATGTGATGGGTTTAAGTTATAGAAGAAGAGTTAACACACTCGGTTCCTTTTTTTAATTAATAATTTAATATCTTCCTTTCGTTTTATATTGTAAATAAATATAGGGAAAAATTCATATATAAGATCTACCTTACATACTATTTCAAAAATAAGAAAACAACTTTAAAATTTTTAAAATCAGATATTTTAACACATAAATATACATACACATATATTTATATATTTTTTATTCATATATATAAATATATAAAAAGATATAAATATAATATAGTTAACCCACCCCACCTCCACCGCCACCACTCCTACCGCTTCGACGACCGTTTCGGCTACTACTCCGGTGAATGTTCCGACAACTTCTCCTATTCTGGTGACCGTGCCGACGACTTCTCCGATTCCGACGACTATTCCGGTAAATATGACCTATATTTTTGAACTGTGACTCTACAAACACATGTGACTTGTTAATATTGATTTTTGGTCACACGGTCACAGACTTCCAAATTAGTTGGTCACAGATTTTTTCACGGTCACAAATTATATAATTTTTAGGTCACGGATAACAAAATGGTTTGTCACAGATTACCGAATTTTAAAGTCACGGATCAAAAATTTATATATCACATGTCACGTATTTTTAAATTTGTTGGTTACAGATTATTTTTTTAGTTACAAATTATCAATTTTAAAGTCACAGTTCAATAGCTGGGTCACAGATACCAAAAAGAACGACCAACGCCGTTGACCCGGCCACAAAACCACCACAACAATAACAAAAAACGACGACCACCACACGAACCACCATCACCACCACACGGACCGCCACCACCAACCACCTCCACCTCCACCGCCACCAGAAACCATCACCAACAAACATACCAACAACGAACAAACCACATCTTCAACTACAAAACCATCATCGCCGCCACTGCACCCCACACGACAACCACCTATAACAAAAAATGAAGCTCGGCA